GGTCCCTGCGCTGGCCTGAGAGGCCTCGGCCCAGCGTCAGCTCTGGCGGGAGAACTGGCAGCCACACCTGCTCCTCCCCGTGGGCGACGGCTGTGACCCTTCGGGGACCCTCCCAGCCGGCAGGGGGCCCCTCAGGATGGCCTGGGACGGGTCCCGGACACCCCGCAGCCCGAGCGGGCCTGGCCCTGGCAGGGCGGATTCACCCTCACGGGGCGGGGTCACGGGCTGGCGGGACACAGGACCCCCGGGGAGGCCGCCTGGACCCAGTGGCGGGCGTGCAGGGCTCCAGCAGGGCCGCGCCCACGTCTCTGTGCCTGCGTTTTCCCGTCTTGTCTGGGAAGGTCCCGCCATCCGCGAAGGAAGAGAGTCACGGCTCGGCTCCCCGTCCCAGCTTCCGCAGGGCTGGCCGTCCACGCCGTGTCCACGCCGTGTTTTCCCGGCCAGGGCCACCTGGCCATGCGGGCCCCCGAGTCCCCCGCGGTGACCTCCTCGGCGGCGTGTTTTATTTTTAGGCGCCCGACTTTACCTGCCTCCGTTGCTTTTCTGGACGTTGAGGCGAAAGCAGGCGCAGAAGACTCCGCCCTTGGTTTCTCCTGGCGCGGGAACGGCGTGTTTATTTCGTGTGTCTGTGTTGCCGGTGGCCGTTGGGAGTCCCCTGGCGAGTGCGGAGTGGCTGGGACCCGCTTCCAGTCCTGCCTCGGCCTCCCCGCCGCGCCGGCGCCCCTCCTCCCGAAGCCCTGCTCTCCTCCCGGGCGAGGAGCCGCCTGCCCCGCCAGCCGGGCGTGCCGTGCCGCGAGGCCCGCGCCGTGCTCCGATCTCCGCTGCTCCGTTGGCCTTTCTGCCGCGGGCCACGCGGGCCCGGGTCTGCGCGTCCCGAGATCCGTGTTGCGACGTGATCTTGCACCGGGGCAGGGGTTTCCTGGAGACTCCTGCGTGTTTGCTTTCAGTGGATGCGGCACGTCCCTCACGGAGCCCAGGATGGGACCCGGTGGCCTTTGACGGGTGGGCGCAGGGACCCCGGTGCCCGGGGCCGTGGCGTGTCCGTCTGCGGGAGGGTTTTAGGGTTTTGCCGTGTGGGTTTTCGGCGGTTCTGGTTAGCTTCGCTCGTGACGGCAGGTCGGTGACAGGGCCGTCAGCCACTGCACACGGGTCCTCCCTTCCCCGACGGCTCCCGGGGCCGCTTTGGTGTCTGTGGGGCTGCCGGTCTCCGGCGTTGCATGCCCCGTGGCCCTGCCACCGTCTCCGTCCCTGGTTCCTCTGCGTCTCTGGACGAGGGACCCCTGCCGGGGCGGGGACGCGGCCCGTCCCGCCCAGCGCACAGCGTGGTGGCGCCGTGGCCGGTCGGCTGCTCCTGCTTTGGTGGTCGGGCGGCGCCTCACGCTTTCCCCGAGGCCGTGTGCCACGTGCCGTGGCTGGAAGGGGCCTTCGTGCCTGGTGTGACGGCGGCTGCGCCGGGACGTGTTCCATGGCGGGCGCGTTTCCCGCACCCGCGAGGCGCTCTGTGGGCGGGGGAGGTCCCGCCTCGCCGTCCTGGGACACACGTGATCTTCCGTGGCCCAGCAGAGCGTGCTCCCGTGTTTTGTCGAGCACCTCTGTGTGACGCTGTGAGGTGGCTGTGTGTCCCCTCGTGGCGCCACGCGTGTTGGGTCGAGACCGCCGTCTTTTCCCTCGGGGTGACTTCCGTGTCCCGAGGTGTCCCCTCGGCCCTGTCTGGTGTCCTCCTCGTCACGCCTTCCTCGCCCCTGGGTGTCTGGCCGAGTCACCGGTGTGGTCCTGCGGGACGAGCTGTGCCCGGCTCACGGGCTGGCCCCACTGGGCGGCTCCTCCACGGGGCCGCGTCTGCGGGAACCTTGGCCGGGGACTTGTGCGTCCCTGGGGGCCTCGGGTGCCCGGTGGCTCCCTGGCTGCCGGACATTCCTTTGGGGGGGGTCTCTGCGAGAGGCCATGTGTGCATCTGAGCACATGCATGTACGTGTGTTCATATGCACAGGAACATGTACATGTGCAGCTGTGTGTACGTGCATGGACGTGTGTATATGAGAGTATACATATGTGGTGTGTGTTTACAGCCCTGTGTTTAAGCACGCATGTGTATCTGAGCATGCATGTGAGTGTGCGTATGAATGTGGGAGGGTTGTGCACGTTAGTCTTTGAGTGTGTATGTGTGTACGTGTTTGCATGTGTGTATCTGAGCACATACATGTGGATGTGACCAGATGTACGTGCATCGTGCTGCGTTCCTGTGAGCATGTGTCGTATACATATTTACGTACACATAGCTGTGTGTGTGTTCGTAAACGTGTGTTTTTGTTGTGTTTACGTGTATTAATGCGTGTAACGTGTACAGTGCTCATGTGTGTGGCCGTGTGAGCCTGTGCTGTTCTTTGTGCGCTGGCTGGCTCCAGATGGTCAGCCCCGCGCCCCCGAGTGACTCGCTCGGCTGCTGGGGCTGCAGGAGCCCCCGCCGTCCTGCCTGGGCTGGGGCACCAGGGCTCTGAGTTCGGGTCCTGACTTCCCAGGTCCTCGTCGTGGGCTCCGGTGGCGCCTTGGCCCCTCCCGGTGCAGCTGGCCTGTGGGCGCAGCCCGTGGGGACCCTCCAGACGTGCCCTGGGCTCCGTGTGTCCCTCTGCAGCACCCTAGAGTCCCCATCCTGGCGCTGGACCGGGCGTGGCAACCGGGGGGCCTGGGAGGGGCGCCCCAGCACTCGGCCCCCGGTGGCCCCGGGCCGTGGTGTGTGTGGCCAGGACCCCCTCCCTCCACAGGCAGCGTCTCCCTGGCCGACCAGAGCTCGCCGTCCCTGGATTCGGGGTGCAGGCGGAGACTGTCCAGGGAGCGCCTTCCTCCCCGCCACCTTGCTGGCTTCCCTGGGGCCCGCGCGCCACCTGGCGGCCGGTCTCTGAACTGCGGCCACCGTCCTGG